ACAGCTGGGAAAAGGTCCTCAGAGTTTTAGTCATGGTACAGAAACACACGTCCACACAAAAAATCTGCAGCTGTCCTTTCTCTACACCACATTTTTAATCTGATTTTGGGGCCCAGTATTGAAAGCCTGACAAAACTGAAATACTTTTACCTACATCCTGGCTGACAGGGTCAGATGAAAACTATGCCATTTATTTTCTCCTTCACCTGACAAATCGACATACATTTTTGTGCTTAAACAAAAAAAAACCAAAACCAAAAAAAGTGGTTGGCAGGAAGAGGGTGGGAGGGTGCAAAATAGCATTTAATGTATGAATGCATTCAAAACCTGGAAAGGCATCTACTGTAATTTTTTTAAAGTACAAATCAGCCACTGGTGTGCCTATTAAAATGTTCAATTTCCAAAGCAAATATTATTTTTAATGAAGTGCAGTACTGCAATTATCCTGTACACTCAAGTAACAGTACTGCATTATATTGTTTTGCAAGGTTCCAGAAACATGAAACTTTGCTGTAACTATTTTTCATAGTCCCCCAAGAGAAGCTCACTGCCCAACCATTTCAAGAAAATGCTGCATGTTCTCTATACTGAAATCTTATCAGACAAATTTGGGATCCTTTATAGAAATGAAGTTAACAGAGCCCAGGCTCCCTGCCCGTGCAGCAGAGTGATTCACCTACTTAAACCATCCCGAAGTTTCACAATATGATTGATGCCATAGGATCCCAAATTCTTATTTAATAGCTTGTTTCTATACCCAAAAAGTATATTAAAAGCATGTCTACTAACAGTGGGGGATAGAGGGGAGAAAGAAAAGAAAGAATGAATCATGCACTTCATTGAAAAGCCATGCATCTTAAAGCACTAAAGTGCTGACATATTAAGTTATATCTACATTATTAAACTAGTTGGTGGATGCTAATACTATAATCCATATTGCAGACATTAAACCTCAACCATAAAGATTAGCAAAGAATTAATGCTGTCGAATGAAGGCTAAAATTTAACATGCTAGCCCTAAATATTTCTAAAAGAGATGAAAAACAATTAGCATAAATACCAAAGAAGGGCAAGAACACCTGTTCTTTTTCAGTGCGATAAGCATTTTATTGTTCTCTATTTAGAATGTAATGACCTGTGTAATTACAGTAATATTACATTGTATTGCAGGGGCTTGGAATGTCACACTTTGAAAAGTGTTGTCAAAACAACTGGAGGGAGGGGAAAAAAAAAGAAAGGGACCACCATTAACCCTTCACACTCCACTATCTACCTCTTTTGTATTAGAAAGGATTATGTTGTTTGATTCAGTAGATAAAGAGAAACATCCATTTTCCAAGTCAATAAAAAAAAAAAAAGTTTCTTTTCCTGAACATAAAACCTTAGCGAGGGGGCAACTCTCATATTTAGGCATTCCAAACATGCCAACTTTAGCATGAAATACAAGCTTATTTGTGCAATCGGGGAACAAATTCTCACTTGGAAAACAAACACTTTAGAGCAAAGAAGATGCAACAGCATAGAAAATTAGGAAGACCTGGCAAATGGTTCTCGATGACAAAAATATTTCTATCTGCTGGGTGAAAGCATTAACCATACTCTAAATTTAGAGACGGGAATAAAATACACTACTTCTCCCTTTTTTAAATTCGAAACTGAAAATAATTTCCTTTATGATCCCTAAGAGGCAGACACCACAGTCCTTCTGCCAGTGACAGAGATTCGCAGCTACGTTACTTCATTACTATTTGACTAGATCTCTAGTTAATACAGATCTAGTCTTAAAAGCCATTCGCATTACTCTATCAAAGGCAAAATTAACATTATGCAGAAAATCTTTATCTTTTAAAGTAAAATTATTACTATCAAGCTTTATGGAGTCTTCGGCAATTAAAGCACTATTCTTGAAATAATGCATTATTCATCATAAGCAGATTTAATGATACTTGGTAATTCTTCATATCCCTACAACAGAAAAGAAGAAAATACTGTTCCTGGGAGTTTGCCCTTCCCAGAACAAACAGCTGCAGGTACATTTGCAAGTAACAAAAATTCTTCTAAACCCAATCCAAAAACAAGACAAAGGGACTAAAAAGAGGGGAGGAAATTAAATCAGGGGGGAACCCCCCCACACACACACATACACACACAAGCCTCCGGATGCCACAGGAAAAAAAAAAGGGAGAGGGGGAAATGATGCCTATATCTCTGCATCACTTCTTACATTCTTAGAACTTAAATATTACAGCATAAGAAAATCGACGCAGTGCACGTTTTCTCTTAATTCCAATTAATAATCACGCACAATGTTCAATACCTTTCCAAGTTGTGTTAAAAACCAGGGGGGGGGGGGGGAACTAGCTTGTCTGAGATGCAAAGCTAGGATGTCAAGAATACACCTAGAACAGCATGACAGACAGCAATTTATCCTGCTTAATCTTTATACTATTCTGCTTTCAGGCCTAAATGATGAACTTCATTTTTTCCAGCCTCCATTATGTTCCCAGCAAACATGTATGTATACAGAACGTAGGAGGGGGGGAAGGTTAATAAGATATTAAAGGGTTTGTGGAGCTTGAATGTGCAAATAATAAAATAGCCTATTGAGTGTGGAAATATCCTTCTAGCATCCATCTGATAACACTACAAGGCCACCTGCTATGTCAGCAATAAAACAACATGTAATCTTTTATACAGAACCTTTAATTCATACAAATACAACATTCCTATGGAGGCTTTTTTTTTTTTTTTTTAAATGGGGGCAGGGGGGTCCAAAGAAAGAAAAGAATATTTCCATTAAAAGGTAACTAGTGAATGATCCCTATCTTTTTACTCCACAGCAAGAGAAGCATGGCAAATAAGTGTAACAAGGAACTGAGTCTTATGTTTCAAAAAAAACAAACAAACAAAAAACAACATATTACAACTCCCCCAGAAATATAGCAGAGCTGTTCCTTCAGTGAACCTACTCTTGGAACACTGCTATGCATTTTAAATATGGGGAAATTATTTTAAAGAGATTCATAATTTGGAAGTTATTTTGGAAGGGCACGTTTCGCTCTCTTCAATCTAAGGTTGCAAGATCTGGAATTTAAAACGTGCATATGTGGACTCACATTCAGAGCAAAATCTAAATGCATTCAGCCTCTCACCCCCCCTCCACACACACACACACCCTGCTCATTACAGTTACAAACTGCAGTCACCCCTCTTCTAGTGTCCAAGAAATCACAGACCCCGAAAAGCAGTCTTAAAAAGATAACCAAAAGAAACCAACACTGCCACATCCTTCAAGATGGGAAAACACAGGAAAAAAAAAAAAAAAAACACAATTATTTCATATTCCCATCCCTGCGGATTTGCTAATCTGAGCCTCCATTGTCGCTTTACTGAGTGCAAACAAACCTGACCTCATGTTTAATATTTTAATGCTTTAAAACACTTGTAGATCTGAGATACTGAAGTCGCCCAAGACCTAAGCCATTAGTACAGATCCTACGTCTCCTGAACAGTAGATCTATTCTTGCAAATTGCTCTCTCGTGTTACCGCAGGAGAAGGGGGAAAAAAAAAGTGCGTAAATAGACACAGGGTGATGGTAGTGGACCCTCAAGACTGAAAAGCCCCTAAAAGATACAGAAGGACAACGCTGAGCAAGCGTATACAAAACACTTCTTAGCATTTTGTACTCCCCGCAGATTTAGCATTCATAATTAAAATACTCTTTAAAAAAAAGGTTCGTCTTGATGTGTGTTTTGTCGGAGCAGACAGCACAGTACAGGATACCACACGACATCGAAGGAGAAGAGATTAACTAAGCTTCTCCCCCCCCACCATCATACCCCAAAGTTGAACAGATCCCCACTGCCTGGGCTACACACACGCGCACACACACACCCACGCACATCTACTCTGCCCCTGCTCCCCGGCAAATCTAATCTTTCATCCACGCTCCCATCTCAAAGGGGGGAAAAATTTCAGCAGAATCCCTGCTTTTAAGATCCGCTTTCAAGTGGAGAGGTGTTGGTTTGTATTCTTAAAACGACAATTTCTGTTTATAAAAAACTATATCTCAATTCTACCCCGTGCTCCAACTCCTGGTGGGACTTAGCTAAGTAGCACCCCCCAGCCAAGAAAGAACGACTTCAGGTGCCCCTAGGAAACATTTGAAAAAGCAGGGCGTCATTTAGGTCAGGCAAAGATGGGCTATTTCTGCGAGCTCAGCTTGGGATCGCTGATCCTTTTCCTTTGAAAAGAAAAGAACCTGGACTGCTGCTTTGCAAGGAAATGTCAATACCTTCCTGCTCCCCCCCAACCCCCCCAAAAAGTGGAAATAAACTTCAGGCACCACATTTCCCGTGCACAAACTGCTGAGCCCAAGACAAGTGAAAGGCCAAACGACAGCTTGAATGAGCCAAATAAATAAATACAGAAGCACAACAAAAAAACCCCAAAACAAAACAAAAAAAGTTCCCTGTCTTGATAAACCGAAAGAAGGAACAAAGTCTCACTGAAGCTAAGACAGTCCATCAGCTACCCAGGGAGCTTTCTGCAGCAAGGGAAGGGTTAAGGGGGAGGAAAGGAGGAGGAAAAGAAAAAAAAAAAAAAAGTGTGTGTGTGGTGTGTGTGTTGGGGGGAGGGGGAAAAAGAAACCGAGTCTGCAGTGGAGAGGGCAGGAGAAAACAGATCCCCCCACCCCGGCCAACAAATAGTTTGGTGGAAAATCAGGCGCTGAGATTCAGCTGATGGGAAAAGAAAGCCCCCGAGCCGGGAGGGAGGGAGGGAGGGAGCCGGGCTGCGGGCAGAGCCGCGGGGAGGGAGGCAGGAAGATGGCGAAGGGCAACCCCGGCCCGTTGTGCAAAGTTTGGAAAAGTTTCTGGCGGTGCCAGGGGCATGCGGAGCGGGGGGAAGGAAGCGTGCCATCCTCACCACCCCCCTCTGGGAAGCGGGGGGGGAAAAGGGGGAACAAAAAACACACGCACAAAATAAAGCAGGCACTTACTGTTCTTGCAGTCGGAGACAGCGACCCATTGGGGAGGTACGGGCTGGTCAGGTCGGGGATCATGATGAAGGGATAACCGGGGTAGGGTGGGCCCTTAAACAACCCTCCATCTTGCCTTTTCGCAGCTAACATGGCGGGGGGAAGAGAGAGGGGCAAAGCGGGGAGAGAAACAAAACTTTCGTCAGCGAGGGGCCCGGGGCCGCCGGGCCGCAGCGCGCCGCCGG